GATGGTGAAAAGGTAGACACTGGAGAGGAAAAATAGCCCAGCAAAGAGCTTCAATTTCTCTGAAGAGCCAGTCTTTCCTAAAGGCATAAGTGGATTGAGATCTGATGGGATATGGAGTCAACAAAACTTCCTGTCTTTGAACCTCTCAGTTAATGGACAGGTTGGTGGAATGGGTGCTCTGATCAAGCTTTTGAGACCCACAGTCTCTTCCAGGAACATGAGCTGTTCCATATGCCTGCGCTGTATTCCCTGGCTCTCATGTAGTGGAATTGTTTCAATTTGGCAACCTCTGTCTGCTGTATGGAACGAGCATTGGGAGCGGACAGACCCCCTGGGAATTGCTCACCCAAGGATCAGTGTGGGCCCCATCCTTCTCTCCCTTATCAGTACATCTACCAAAAGCTTGGGGAAGAAGGGCTTGTTCATTGCTCATTGACTTTTTGCTGGGTTGCTTCACTTCTGTTTGCTGTTGGTGTTAGGTTGAGCCACTGTGGACAGTATAATAGGATGAAGGAGCACTTGTCCATGAGAGCTTGGCCATGACATTGGGGTGAGGGATGTCTCCTGTGTATAGTGCCCAGGGCCTGGGAGAGGGGGTACGTTATGTAATGATCTCCACTGCTGGAACTTTAGACTGAAGTGTTACCAGGGGAGTGGTTGGTTTAGTAGAGAATAGCAGTTTAAAGCTCCATTTACCAAGTCGTATACATCAATCTCGAAAAATCGTAACGTCTCGTGGGATTTCATTTCCGAACTACCATCTGTGGGGCCCGAGATGGAGGGCACGGGATGGGATGTGCTTTCTCCAGGCGCTCCTTCTCCATAGCCCCCGACTGGAAGGGACCGCATCCTGTTTCCTGCCAGTGACGTCTGGTTCCTTTTATCTTCAACGTTTCCTCTTGTCCCGGGAGAAATTTATCATCCTGGATCGAACTCTTCCATTGCACAGCTGGAGGCAATTTTGTTGGCATTGCGCTCCCCCATTTCACCCCCGCGCTCTGTGGACATGCAGAGCGGGGGGACTAGGCAGTGTGGGTGGGGAGCGGCTTCTGAGGCTGCCTCCTCCAGACCTCTTAAAGAGTCCATACCTCTAGATGCCTCTTGCATTCGTTCTTCTTTTCTAACGAGTCTGGATACGACTTATCAGTTTCGTCCTGGGGGTTCCGGCTCCCATTTCGGACTCTTTTATTTCCTCCTTCAGCTTCCTTTGGGGGTCAGCCTCCATCCATGCCAGGTCTTCGGAAGACCCTTCAGCCTCGTTTCCATTTCTTGAATGTCGAGTATTACAACATAACTGCGCTAGGGTGCTTTATGGTGCTGTTCTTGAAGAGGCCAGCTGGACTGAACCTCCTCTGTCCCACTGGTTCCTTAAACTTTGCTGTATTTTGTTTTTTTTATTTGATTTACACCCACCCTCCACCCCCACCCCGGGGTTTGGGGAGGGAGCTGGGGGAGGGTGGCTTTTGTGTTTTCTCTTTTCTGTATGTATGAACTGGTTAAAGTCAGTGATCACGGGCAGCTGACTTCATGGTATTGGTTGGCTGACTTTGGTTAACGATTCAAGACAAACCAACACATTGTACAGCTGCACACAGAACACCTTTGAGTGTGAACTTGAATGGCAACTCGAGGCTTACTATTTGAACTTCAGGTATGTAACTGAAAAGTAAATAAAAACACTATTTTTTCAGTAAGCTTTTTTTTCTTCTACAAGACAACTTAGAAATCAAACTATAAGAACAGTAAATCGGTGCTGTACCAAAGCCTTATATGAACATGTTCGACACTCTGTATAACCTGTCTCTGGTGAGCTCCCTGCTCTGTCACCTTCTTCTCAAAAGCCTGGGAATGCCAGCGAGTGCCAAGCCTGGGGCTGGGTCTTGGGGACCTGTGGCCATGGGGACCCTTTGGAGCAGAGGAGGATGGTGAGGTGGGACCATTCTGCTTCCTGAGTAGATCTGAAAGGACACCAGGCATTTGTGTTTGTGTGTGTGTGCATGTGCGAGGGCTGGCGTGCGTATGTGTGTGTGTATGTATGTGTGTGGGTACACACGTGTGTGGTGTGCATACAGGTGCACATGCCAAAGTGAATGCTCTCCCTGGGGGCCTGAGAGGGAGGCCCAGGTTGACTCTGGGAGTCGGGTGGTCATGGCAAAGGCCTGTGTCTTGTCTCCATCCCTGTCCTCACTGTCAGGAAATGGAGGTGTATATGGAAACAGCTACACTCTCCACTAGGTGCTTTTTCCTCAAAGTCTACAAACTCTAAGCATTTACAAAGGGCCCGTCCAGGAGGCAGGCACCTCCAACCACCAAATCACAGTCTGTCAGCTCTTGCTGGCTTTCCTGGGAAAGGGGCTTCCTCCTACAGTGGCCCCTGACCTCTCATCCCTGGGTCTGGGCCTGTTCTAGCTGCTGCCCCTCTAGGTGGGCTCTGACGGTGGTCCTCCCCCTCTTCCCGATCAACAAAGAAGACCCGCCTGGAGAGGACCCCTGAGCCACGCCTGCTCTGAGGCCCTAAGCAATAATGCCTTCCCTGGTTACCCAGGACAGTGAGTCCTTTGGCCTTAGACTCCCGCCAGTTAAAAACTGAGTGACGCCTCTAACTCACTTAGGGAGAGGATGAGTCTTCGGCTGCATGGCTCGGGCTGCCGTGGCTCGGGCTGCCGTGGCTCGGGCTGCCGTGGCTCGGGCTGCCGTGGCTCAGGCGGCCACGCCAGGCTCCTCTCGCTGGTATTTTCAGGCTTGCCGACTACTAACCAACTCATTGCCAGTAACACTGCATGTTCATATAGCGAGTTAAAAATAAAACATGCGAACACATACATGAGCAGACAAAAAGAAAAGAAAAAAAGAGGCGCATCACATGAGCGGATGTGTAAGCCCCTGAAGGTGTGCTTGGAACGCGTTGCAAGTGAAACAGATGAAAAGAAGTTTAGTATTTAATGGCTTCTCATGTAACATTAGTCTGCTTCAGAAATGTTTTGTATTTTGCTATAAATAAACATTTGCTAAAAAAAAAAATGTATTTCTAATGTTTATTTGTACCCAGGAAGTACTTCCCGATGTTGTCTAATGTCACCACTGGCTTAGGTCTCCCTCATCAACCCATTTTGAAGTCACAGTCTTAACGTGATTCTGAAAGGAGTTGAGACTTGACGGGTAAGGAGCTACCCTTCATTCACTAAGCAAATGTGTACCGAGGGCAATAGTGTGTCTTAGTCCACTGTCCCAGTCACTTGGGGCCCAACAGTGAACGAAATGGACAAGGTTCTGGTTCTTGTTCTTCCAGGGCTCACCTGCTAGTGGGAGGGGACCGACAGGGAACACTTCACGCCACAAGAAAATCACTGAGAATTCAGTGCGGCAGCAGGCGCTTTTGGGACCCATGGAGCAGGACGAGGAGCCCCTGAAGTGCAGAGGGAGGGTCTCTGCAGCTGAACATGGAGCTCTCCGCGTGGGCCTCCCTGAGGAGATGGCCTGAGCATAAACTGGAAGGGGACTTGCTTATCCCCGTGTCAAATGCACTTTTTTTTTTTTAATCTTCACCCGAGGGTATTTTCCCATTGATTGTTAGAGAGGGTGGAAGAGAGGGAAAGGCAGAGAGAAATATCGAGGTGAGAGAAACACATCGATGGGTTGCCTCTTGCACACGCTCTGACCAGGACCCAGGCCGGGGAGGAGCCTGCATCCGAGGCTCATGCTCTTGACCGGGATGGAACCAGGGAATCTTCAGTCCACGGGCCGACTCTCTATCCACTGAACCAAACTGGCCAGGGCGAATGCACGTGTTTTTAACTGGATTTCTTTACAATATCTGAAAACATTAAGAACCACAAGAGACGCTGGCTCTTCAGTTATGTGACGAAGATAGTTTTTTTTTTTGTTTTTTTTTTTGTTTGATACCATTTTGTCTAAATGGGTCTCCAACAGGCTGGCTCTGGACCACATTTCACACCCAGGAGCCAGAGGCTCAGTGACTCCCATGATTTCCAGTGTTCTTTGGGATATTCTAAACTTCCTTCAATTTCTTGGGGAAGGTTCTAGATGGGAATAGCAGCTGTCTGAGCCCCTTCCAATTCCCCATCCCCCCGAATCTGAAGTCATGACCCCAATCCCCTTTTCATTTCTACTTTATTGTCCTCCCACCTAGGCAGGCCACCATCCATGGGTGACTTGAATAATCAGGAAATATCTTCTGCAAGAAATGGTGCTTTTACTTTTTATGCTATATCTCTTATTGTTTGGATTATCTCTTTCCCCTCTCTCTGTAAGAATAAAAAATGCCAGTGGCATTGTTTGAATGAATAGAGGGCCTGGGTCATTTTATTACAAATTTATTCTTTCTTTTTAAAGCTTTTATTGTTTTGGTTAATCCTCATTTGAGGATATTTTTCTATTGATTTTTTTTTTTTTTGAGACTGGAGGGAGAGAGAGAGAAACATCGATGTGAGAGAGATACATCTATTGGTTGGTTGGCTCCCACATGCACCCAGACCAGGGCCAGAGATTGAGCCTGCAACCAAGGTACATGCCCTTGACCTAATGGAACCTGGGACCCTTCAGTCCGCAGGCTGACGCTCTATCCACTGATGAGGGCACAAACTTATTCTTTTGATTCATAAAATATCGTTCTCCTTCAGCATTGTCAAAACTGGGTGACCAGCTATAAGCCCCACAATCTATCTATTATTTGTTTAACTTCCCTCTTGTGTCTTTCTCAGGCATATATTGGCTATACCTTATGCTTACCCCTCCCCCCCCTACCCCCACACACACATCCCCATTTCTGAGCTATGGCATCATTAAAGTAGGTTACTTTATGATTTCCTTTTTCTATCTCCACTCTCAATGCCCTGGAGAATAAAGGGCATTGTCACATCATCATTGGACAGCCAATCAGGTGGGCACCTCCCTTCAATGACCTCTTTGTTCCAGAAGAGTCCTTAGGCTGCTTCAATGGATGGAGGGAGCCAAGAAGAAGGCCTGGCCTAAGTCCAAAGATGATAATTACCACATGGATTATGTACATTCTCGCCCGGAAAGGTGTAGGGTGCCCCTTCCCACCAAAAACCAGTTCGGTAAGTGAAGTGGATGGGAGCCAGACAGAACCCTTCTCCCTTCTGAGCCCCCTGCTGCACTTCTGGAGAGAAGACCTTACAATGTCTAAGTTTGGATAAAAATGGAGAAAGAGAGGGGCTGGATCTCCAGGTGTTTTGAGGGCATCAACTTATCAATTTGTTGCAGGACATCGAAGTTGTGGAAACTGAGGCTGTGTCTGTACTAGAGCACTGGTTGAAAAAAGTGAGTAAAAATCCCTTTCTGACTCAGGGTACCCCAAATTCTAGAGAGCTGGCCTCAGTGGGTGCAGGGATCTGGACTTCCCTCTCCTTCGAATGGGAAACTCAAGTTCATTGGCCCTGCCTAGAGCCGTTTCTAACACACCAGATGTCCTAGAGCAGTGGTTCTCAACCTTCCTAATGCCGCGACCCTTTAATACAGTTCCTCATGTGGTGGTGACCCCCAACCATAAAATTATTTTCGCGGCTACTTCATAACTGTGATTTTGCTACTGTTATGAATCATCATGTAAATATCTGATATGCAGGATGTATTTCCATTGTTACACATTGAACATCATTAAAGCATAGTGATGAATCCCAAAAACAATATGTAATTATACATGTGTTTTCCGATGGTCTTAGGCGACCCCTGTGAAAGGGTCGTTCGACCCCCAAAGGGGTCGTGACCCCCAGGTTGAGAACCACTGTCCTAGAGGATGCTGGGGCTTCTGTCTTTATAAGAGATGTGCTGGAAGCGCCACTAGCCCTTCTCGAGCATACTGGATGCAGGGTTTCCGATGTGTTGCCCCAGCTCCAGGGCGTCTTGGGAATCCCTTGGGATAAGGCCCAGGACTGAGTGACTTCCCTGGAACCCCACGGGGAGGTAGCCGTAGGCGAGCTCATTGCAGGCACCGTGAGACACAGAGTTTGGATGTGTGGTTGTGTAGAATGTGTGTTGTGATGGAGAGGAAGAAAAAAAGAAAAGGACAAAGAGAACGAACTGGGGGGGTCAGATACCAAGTGACCCTTTGAGGGGGAAATGACTCACCTTTCAGACCGAAGAAGAGGCTTCCCAGGATATAAAGGAGAAGATGTCCAGCAACTGCCCTTCCATCCATGGCGAAGATATCCATGTGACCAGAGATGTGGTAACTGAAGAGTTGGAGACCATCATCCTGGGGGCATGGGGAGGGAGGAAGGGGGAAGGCAGGAGGTCCTATTGCCAAGGATCTGGGCTAAGTGGGTGGGGCTGGTCCAGGCTTCGGGAGTCCTTCTTGGGCAGCGATCACGTGGACCCTTCCCGGCTTTCCTAGGTGAAGCACCATCTCTCAAAGTGCGATTTGTTAACAAGCCCGAGTCAAGAAGTCCTAGAGGAAAGGACAAGAATCCAGTTCATAAGATGGAGGTAAAGCACCTCTTATTGTCTCTGAGCCACGCTGTGAGGAGGGAGAAGCACAGAAGGCACAATCCCGCCAGCTGCTGCGGGCTCCTGGCTAACACAGACCCACAGCCATTCTCCTCAGAGCTTGATGCCTTGCCTTTGGCTGAGAACACTCGCAGCCTTCCCCAGGGGTCTTCCGGGAGCATGGCAGCCACCTTGAAAGCCCAGCGCATCCCTAAGTTTTAAAATGACGTTAGGGGTTGGGTCACGGGGGTTGCTCACCCTCTCCTAAACGCTTCTGAGTACCTCTCAGACTTTAGTGATTTTTGCGTTTGATGGGTTCAGACGCGGCTGCACTTTAAAGAGCTGTAAGGACATAATCTCTTAACATGCAAAAGCCAAAGGAAGCCCTCATCTGCCAGGGAGGTGAGGGGAGGTTTCCAGGCTCCGAGGCTGGAATTATGTGCTTCTGGTGGCTTTGCCAGCCTCCCACTGTGCCTGCCCCAGACTGACCTTCCCCATCCTGGCACGGAAGTCGCCACCTCAAGGCAGGGAACTGGGCCTGGATGCTGGCTCGCTCCGTTGGCAGGAGCTTCCCTGTTTCCTTTCTGGGGCTGCGCTCACACGGGATCTTTTCCCAGGAGAAGACCTATGGGATTAAACTGCGAAGGAGCCCTCTCTCATCTCTGTAGGCTCTTCCTCCTCCCCGTACCCCACCGCCAGCTTTGCTCTCTTCTCTCCAAGAGGATATATTTCTCAGAGAAATTTATTTTTGCTTCAGGATATCCATTTTCAGGTGTTTACCCCTTCCGGTGGCATGAGCAATGGAAATGGGGGTCCGTCTGCGCAGTAATTACAAACAGGAAGGGTGGTGGAGGCCTCCCTGGGAAAGAGGTTTTTGGAAAACCTTCCCAAAGTCCCTAAAACCATAAACGTTGGTAAATTATAGTCACCAACATTTATGGTTTTAGGGACTGTTTTTCTACTGGGAAAAGATCCGAAGTGGGCACAGCCCCAGGAAGGAGACAGGGGAGCTTGTGTGTGGGAGGCATGTCCATGCCTGATATGGCTGCACGGAGGGACTCTCAATGCAGCACTTTCCCAGCTTAGATAATCGAAACATCGCTTTTCACTATAGTTTTAAACCTCAGCTGCGTGGCGTAGCTAGGTTAAAGCACAGCGCGGGGACCCAGGTCGCAGCAGTCCTAGGACGGCTGCCAGGCCCTCGCAAAATGTTTCCGGGAGGACATTTTCTTGGACTGACCCGTGAACTGGGCAGGGCCCAGGTAACAGGAGCTGGGGCGGGCTTCCCACAGATGCAAGAGCCTTGAGGACTTAGCCGGTCTGGTTCTGGCCTCTGGGACCCAGTCCTGTGGCCCTTTCTTCTCTGAGGCCTGCCCTTCCCCCCCTCTATTGGGGTACGCTCTCTCTCTCCTCTGGAATCCTGATCCAGCTCCTCCTGGTTGAGAGAGATCCCTGAGCACGCCTGTTCCCCCCCAGGCAGTATCAATTCTGTCTTCACATGCAAAGCCACAAGGAACGCACCTAGAGCAAGGCATTGTCCACGGAAGGCAGTTTCCACAGACACAGAAATCGGGGATCCAGTGGGCAGGCTGATTTCACTAGAGTGGAGTGTTTGTGAAGGCAGGAGGGGTGTGGAGTTGGGGAGGACAGAAAGGGGACCGTGGAGAGGAAGACAGATCCAAGAGGGTGAAGTAAAAACAATAGTAGCGATGAGGTGCCTACAGAGCCTCTGTAACAGTTTTCTAGAAGGATCTCTGAATCATAGTGACTATGGCACAAGGCTGATCACACAGAGCTGACAGTGAAGTTAGGGTACCCTTGAGTTCCTGGTACTGGAAGGGTCAAGGCTCAGCTCAAAAGTCCATGCCATGGGGTCAAAACTGACCCTTCGCACGACTGCAACCCCAGCAGTCTCGCGATGCCTGGTGGCAAAGAAAAGGAAACAGCCCAGGCTTTAATGGTGTGTTGCAGCCATACCCGTATCTTCCAAGTGCCAAGTGAGGTGAGAGATGAAGTTGTGCGCGATCGAATAGAGCAGGTGAGACGAAGGTAAGCTGCTGGGACAAGTTGCTTTGTATTCCTCACTGGGAACTAGTGGGGTGAGGTGGGATGGGCTGCTGGCCTCGCTTCCGATGGTTTCCCTGAGCTCCAGCTCATACCTAGATCCGGCGGAGCCTGGAGTGGGTCTGGGCAGAGTGCCTCTTTGTAAGACACTGCTCCCAGGTCCAGATGGGGTGATGGTCCAGGCATGGGCTGCCTGCCCCGCCCACCTGGGGCCGTGGGCTGGGGATCTTTTCTGGGTGGGCTCTGCCATTTTGCCTACCCCCTTCTGCCTTGTCCCTCTCCTCTGTGCCTTGCAGTTTATGCCATCTTTCGGATGAGTCATCTCAGAATTTTGACAGAAATTCCTACTCAGAGTGCTGAGAGCTACAGGTGAGGAGCCGGCGGAGAAGAGGGCTACGCTGGGCAGGGAGACAGTGCCCTGGGCAGGGGCCTGATAACCAGGCTTAGCTTTCCCTGTTGGTGATGGCCTGCACTTGGGGCCAGTGCGGGCGGGAGAGAAGGTACTAACTGCCTTAGGCTCCCGCAGTACCTCCCTTAAATTTCCTTTTTAAAAAAATTATTAAAAATTAAATTGATTGTGGTGACATTGGTTAATGTGACCGTATAGGTTCTGAGTGCACATTTCTATATACATGATCTGTATATTGCACTCTGTGGCTACCACTCAAAGTCGGACCATCTTCCAACACCATATATTAGACCTCCTCTACTCCCATCACCCCTCCACCCCCTTCCCTCTGACAACCACCACGCTGCTCTGTGTCCATGAGTTTCAGTTGTATATCTCACATGAGTGAAAGCATGTGGTTCTTCGCTTTTCCTGCCTGACTTTTTTCACTTAGCATGATATTCTCAAGGTCCATCCATGTTGTCGCAAGTGGCAGTATTTCGTCTTTCCTTATGGCTGGCTGATATTCCATTGTATAGATGTACCACATCTTCTTTATCCAAGGACACTTCGGTTGTCTCCATGTCTTGGCCACCATGAATAAGGCTGCAATGAACACAGGGATGCATATATTTTTGTGAATACACATTTTCGGGTTTTTCAGGAATGTACCCAGAAGAGGGATTGCTGGGTCATATGGTAGCCTCAATGCACGGATTGCTCAGGTTTGCCTGCATGTTGAGTGGGGAATCCTTTGTTGAGTCATCGTGGTTCAAGTTGTTGAAATTTCAGCGGGAGAGACCAAGGGGATCTCTCATGTTGCCATTCCTCGGACACCACTCATTAGATTTCTGGAAGGACTTCAAGTCAAGTTCAGTCTGGCCTCTCTGCCTCTTTTAACCCTAATATCATAATCCAGAGCTTCTCACCTGTGCACAGGCTTGGGGACCGCCTGAGATGGGGTGTTAGGTTGTGGCGGGGCCCGTGGGTCTGCATTTCTGATGCTTTCAGGCAATGCCACTGCTGACACCATTTTGAACCACAAGATTGCAGGGCACTGGAATCAGGAGAGAACATGCACGGGTTTGGGCCCTGCCATTAAGTAGGGCCATGACTTGGGTCACGTGGCCTCTTGGCCTGCACTTGGTAGCAGGGGTCACAACAGTGGCTGTTTATGTGGCTCTGGAAGGTGGGAAACCATCCATTCAGGAGATGGTTACTGTGCTCCTGCCAGGAGGGAAAGACTGTGCTGGCTTTCATGGGGAGGGGGCGTATTGGGGGGAGGGGAGAGGGAAGGGGGTGGGGCTAGAGGAGTGATTTAGAATCAGCTGACCCCTGATGAGCTTAAAGGAAGACCATGGAGATGTAACACGGCATTTATTGAGCATTTACTATATGGGGCTTCTGCACAAGGCACTTAGTCAAGAGTTCTCATCTGATTTCAGACAACGTTAAGAGGGGGGCATTGTTCATGCCCATTATGCAGATGGCAGAGGGTAAGCCAAGTCTTGGGAGCCGACGCTGGGTTCCAGTCCAGCTCCCCCGTGGCGAGTTGCTTTATGGCTTTGTGCCTCAGTTTCCTCAGACTTCGGAAGGTTGCCTTGCGGACCGTGGCATTCAGCCTGTGCTACACACCGTGTCAGTGGTTTGCTAATATCAGTTGAGAGGAAGAATCTGAGGTGCTCGCAGGGGCTTCTGAAGTTTGAAGCAGCCAGGCTTCCGTCCCAGCTCCGTCCGACACACCACCACCTGTTTCTAACGTGGATTCCCCGCTCTCTGCGTCCCGCTCTCTGAAGGAGGAGGCGTCGCACATCTTGTCCTTTGTGATCATTTCTGTCGTCATTTCCCTGCTTCCCAGGTTGATGTCCTTCAGGGTCAAGGGGAAGCCTGTGTAAGAAGAGTGTCCACCTCCTCTTTGACCTGAGGAGCAACCTCACCTGGACAGAGAGAATCCAGTGGACAAGCCCTTCCTTGTGACAGTGGCAACACTGGAATATTCACAGTGAACTGCTAATAAAGAGACATGCTATTTACCCACCATCGTAGCGTCTGGTATCAGTGTTTTGCCATTCATTCATTCATTCATTCATTCATTCATTCATTCATTCATTCATTCATTCTTACATTCATTCATTCTTACATTCATTCATTCATTCATTCATTCATTCATTCATTCATTAATTCATTCATTCATTCTTACATTTACCAGACACTGAGCACCTCATGGCTTGCCTCTGGGGACACAGCGTTCAGACCTGGGTGACAGAACACACTCATCCTAGCTCTGGGGGAAGACCATGCTGGTTGCTCCTGGACGGTTAGGAGGGGCGCTGGAGAGAACTGGGGTGGACTGAGACGGGAGGGATTTCCTGAGGTAAGTGTGGCTGGTATGTTTCACTCAGGTGTTGATTTTTGCCTTCCCTAGCACGCTTCCTGTCTTTATGGAGATCCAAGTTTCTGACCGATAGCCTTTCCCTTTTTCTGAAGAACTTTAAACATTTCTTTTTTTTTAAAAAAAAATTTCTATTAATTTCAGAGAGGAAGGGAGAGGGAGAGGGAGAGTTAGAAACATCAGTGATGAGAGAGAATCATTGATTGGCTGCCTTCTGCACGCCCCCTTACTGGGGATGGAGCCCACAACCCGGGCATGTGCCCTTGACTGGAATCAAACCCGGGACCCTTCAGTTCGTAGGCAAGGAGTGGCTGGCACGCAGGCTGCTGGAGCTCAAGTGCTGTTGAGCCCCTTCGCAGCGGTTCTCAGCCTGTGGGTCGCGACTCCTTTGGGGGTCGAACGACCTTGCACAGGGGTCGCCTAAGACCATCGGAAAACACATATATAATTACATATTGTTTTTGTGATTCATCACTGTGCTTTAATTATGTTCCATTTGTAACAATGAAAATACATCCTGCATATCAGATATTTACATGACGATTCATAACAGTAGCAACATTACAGTTATGAAATAGCCACGGAAATAATTTTATGGTTGGGGTCACCACAACATGAGGAACTGTATTAAAGGGTCGCGGCATTAAGAAGGTTGAGAACCGCTGACTTAGTGGGACAGAGCCCTCTCCACTCTCCCAACTCAGAGGCTGCTTCTCCAGACACCATCAGATGGCACCCTTTGCATGCGGAAGGGTTTCCGGAAGGCGAGCTAGTCTCTCTGGGTGTGTGTTGCCGGGTGTAGAAAGGCCATTGCGTGTCTTAATTTAATGGTGAAGTCAGTTCACATTCATGTACATGAACTGAGCTATTCATTCAAGCAAAATGTAGTGGGCATTTGCACCCAGCAACGTGCTGGGTCGTAGGGGAGCGGGTGCGTCTTCGGCCACACTCCCAAGGAGCTCAGGGTGGAAGAGGGGCGGGCGGACAGGCCAGCAAATAGCCAAACCTGGTGTGAAAACAAACGAAAGAGTATAGATGGTAGCGCAGAGTGGGGAGTGTTTTTCTCTGCTCCAGAGAAAACTCACCGACTTCCCAACGGAGGTGATATTTAGGCCGAGGCTTCCCAGGCTCTGGCAGTAAAGGAGGGGTCTCCCAGGAAAGGGAAAACCCACAGGAAGGAGGCAGGATGTGGTGGGGGAGAACAGGAGAGGAGGTTGAGAGGGGCGCAGGTGGGGCTCGTCCAGGTGAGCGCACAGGTGGGGCTCGTCCAGGTGAGCGCACAGGTGGGGCTTGTCCAGGTGAGCGCCCGGGAGCAAAATAACCCCGGGAAACCCGGCTGGAGGACCCGGAGGGCAGGAGCTGAGCCTGACATGCTGGCCAGGAAGGGCGTCTCAGGGGCGAGAGGTGCAGGGACCCAGCTTCAGGTACTTGCCAAGACCTTCGGTTTTCACTCTGTGCTGGGAGGAACAGTTAAGGAGCGCAGAAGCTCCGCCTGTCTCCCACAAACACCTGGAGTTTGGGGAGGGGTGGGGGGGGGACCTGCGTTCGTCTTAGGGCCGCTGCTCCTTCAGCACCTAGGGAGGAAATGCAACCATTAAGTGGCTCAAATGGAGTTTTGTTCTGCGCACGATTAACCCCGGGAGGGGAGTTCGGGAACAAATATGCCTCCTCTACCTGTATTACAGGGGACGGAGCCACGGTAAATTACGAGAAAATCACTGGCAAATTTGGGACCAGTCAGCTGTGACCAAGCCATTTGTGTAGTTAAATGGAGCAGAAAGAGCTAATAAAGCGTTTGTGGGTCACGTATCTTCCCCGCCAGGGGGTCGGGTGCGGGAGATGAGGGTGGGCGTGGGAGCAGGTCCAGGCTGATGAGGCCTGTGGAGTTTCACCTGGGACGTTGTGGTGGTGGTGGGGGGGGTTGTGGTGGTGGTGGTGGTGGGGTTGTGGTGGTGGTGGTGAGGGTTGTGGTGGTGGTGGTGGTGGGGGGTTGTGGTGGGGTGGTGGTGGTGGTGGTGGGGGTTGTGGTGGTGGTGGGATTGTGGTGGTGGTGGGGGTTGTGGTGGTGGTGGCGGTGGTGGTGGGGGTTGTGATGGTGGTGGTGGTGGTGGGGGTTGTGGTGGTGGTGGTGGTGGTGGTGGTTGTGGTGGTGGTGGTGGTGTTGGTTGTGGGGGTGGTGGTGTTGGTGGTGGTTGGTGTGGTGGTGGGGGTGGAGGTGTGGGGGAGGGGGGAGGCCCCTTCCCATCCAGGGGTGCAGCATTGCCGAAAGGAGAAGTCGTGCATTCTAGCAGAGCCAGCGGCCTTCACCCAGCCTCTGCCCCTGGGGTCTATGCATAGATCAGCCCTCAGTTGCCACAAAGGGCCTCGGGACACCAGGGGGACAGGACACTCCTGAGTCTGTGGCTGCGGAGTGAGGTACCAGCTGGGGACTAACATCACCTGCTCTAATGAACAGCACCCAATGTGGTGGGAGACCCAGCCAGCGCCCTGGGGTGTCCACGGAGAGGTGGGGCGGGGGGGGCTGGTCCATCTCCAGAGGAGGATGGAAGGCGCCCAGCCAAACCTGTAGGGGAAACACGG